AAATTTCCCCAACCCGTTGGGCACGATGCCGTCATGATCCCCCCTTACCTCACTGCCAAAAAAATTTCAATATCTCACCCACATTAATCACCTTCCTCACGAGTCTAACGAGCAAAAATCCCATTTCATCATCATTCATATCAATCCTCTCGATTTCTTCCACGTCCCCGGATTCTGTTTCCTCCTCCTCCCCCGTCTCGATCCCTCCTCCTCTTTCCCTCGCTCCAGCGCGCTCGCCGTCGCCCGCCGCCCGCCAACCATGGAAGCAGCTGGACTGGAGGAGGAGGAGGAGGAGGAGGAGGCGATGCCATGGTGGTGTTGCCGCAGCAGGAGGAGGCGGCGTCCGTCGAATCCAAGGGAGTCCACGTCATCGGCAGCCGAATCTATGATCCGGAGAACCTACAGGTGGTGGCAACTAGAGCCTACAGGCGGGGTAAGCTCTACTGCGATAAGTAGGGACGATCTTGGCAGGGGCTTGGTTTGATGGAGGGGTTGGCGGCGGTGTAGGAAGGTGACTGGGTAAGGGGGTGTGACTGTGGAACGGTGAACTTGAGCTGGCACACGGCTGGCTCAGGCTCAACAACACGAGCACCGCTCCATGCACACGAACTCCCAGTCTACCACAAACGCCACACTCCCTAACGACATTACCGATTGGGAGGGTGAGGGAGAGATGAGAAAGAGGCTAACATGTGGCCCTATCCTCGTCTTGGATCCAGATCAAGTCCATGAGGGATCCATGTGGCATATGCCCACGTTGTCTCATGGAGCGGATCAGGGGCTAGTTTTTGACCAGTGATGATGCACAGTATACAACTCATACTTGAAGGGTTGATGCATAAAAAAATAATTTTCATGATGTCATTCAGAGTTCAATTTTGATCCCTTCTACTCCAATGAAAAAAAAAGATCGGTTGAAATGGGACAGGAGAGACATGTTTTTTTTGTGGCGTACATATGATTGTAAGGATGTTCGGTGCAGGGCCGTCCCTAGCAATTTGGGGCCTGTGCCAAATATAAATTAAGACCTTATCTTTAGAAAATACTATTATATAATAGATTAGAATTATATATTATTTATAATACATTGGGGTGGGTATCTAATACCACTTCTTTTTTCTTGATCTGCATTGCAATCAATGGCCTTCTATCCACATCAAGAAAGCTAGCTTTAATCTAATGCTACTTTCTTTAGCTATATCCACAATAAGCATGAATTGTTTTTAACCAATGATAACTATATCTATGTCAAAGAAGTTCACCAACCTACATCTGTAAATGTTATGGCAATCCGGCTAAATAGAAGAAGAATTTATGGGATCTGAAAGTGCATTTTGAGAATTCAGGGACTTCGATGACATATACGAACAAGTTTAGGGACTAGTCGTGTACTTTACTAAAAAATACTAGTAATTTGGTACTACAGCTGCGTCCAATACAAATTTCCATCCACCCTACTTAAGAAGGTGGACAATTGGACGGTTTGGAGGCCCTCACACACCTCGTGTATCATGAGGAGGAAGAGCAAACGGTGGGATCTACTAATAAGCCTCTCACATCCTACATGCCCATCTGCTCTAAACTGATCTTTGGCTGCCTACCACCTTGTCAAAGTAAGAAATATGCATCAACAACAAAAGGGATGTTTAGATCCAGGGGTGTAAAGTTTTGGCGTGTCACATCAGGTATTATATAGTGTGTTGCATGGAGTGTTTGGGCACTAACAAAAAAATAATAATTACAGAATCCGTCAGTAAACCGCGAGAAGAATTTATTAAACCTAATTAATCTGTCATTAGCAAATGTTTACTGTAGAACCACATTGTCAAATCATAGAGCAATTAGGCTTAAAAGATTCATCTCGCAAATTAGCCGCAATCTATGTAATTAGTTATTTTTTAGCCTATATTTAATACTTCATGCATGTGTTTAAACGTTTGATGTGACAGGGTGAAAAATTTTGAGGTGGGATCTAAACAGGGCCAAAAACACATTCCCAAAATCGAGGAAACCTAGTGGCTAGGGCCTAAGGTAGCATATTTACATTAATTATTGATTAGGTGGTACAATGAAGACAATAGCAAAAGGGAGAGGCAGTACAACTCCCTATTAAACTCATGTTAATATCTATTCGACTAACTTAGTAATATCTTTGTTCTATAGTCGATGCATCCTAAAGTAAACCAGTGATTCATATATTGAATATATTTTTTTAGTTGATTCAAATATAAAGTCTCTACTAGTAATTTGAAACTACATATGAATCCAAAATAATTTTTCATCTAATCATTTAAGAAAGGGCGAAAAGTGGATGGCTGATTGGTTATGCCCCCTCATAGCTCATGAGTCATGAGGAGGAAGAGCGGATGGTGGGTCCCAATCATATGATTCTCACAACTAGCATACCCCCTCATCTACTCTAAACGAACCTTTGGCTGCCTATTGCATTCTTAAAGTAAGAAACAACAATAACAAACACCTTGCCTTGAATTGAGTGGACCTAGTAGCCAGAGCCTTAGGTGGTACAAAGAAGCCCATGATGAGGAGGTAGTCCAATCCCTATATTGAACCTATGGCCCGTTTGGTTGGAGGGAGTTTTTAGGAGGGATTGGGAGTTTAGAGGGATGAGGCTATTAAGTGTTTTGTTTGGTTGGAAGACATGTGAATTTTGATGGGATGGAGATGGGTAATTGAGGAAGGAACTCCCTCCTTTTCAATACCTGGGTAGGGGCAGGTAATTGGGAGGGAATTCCTCCTTTACTTTGTCTAAGCAAATATCAGCCATCCGTTTTTATTAATGACATAATCTCCAACTAAACTCCCTATCAATTTCCATCACCTCTACCAAACAAGATATTGGGATTAAAAATCAAATTCCCATCTTAATCTCATCATCAATTCCCTCGTGTAAACTCCCAATCCCCTTCCCTCGAGTTACCAAACAAGTTGCTATGTTATTAGTTTTTTTTAAAGAAAGGAAGAAACATATGCTATTAACTATTAGATGTACTCACCTATTTTACCTTTGTATTAATATATTTGCCGTATAGTTGACGCATTTCAATGTAAACCAGCGATTCAAATATTGATTTTTTTTTGAAAGATCCAAATATATAAACGTTACTACCAATCTGTCGTTGAAGATAAGTCAAAAACAAATTCCCATCCACCTATTTAAGAAGGCGGACAAGTGGACGGTTGGTAGGCTCATCGATGTGCCCCCCTCACACCTCATGAGACATGATGATAAAGAGCGAACGATGGGGCCCACTCGTATGCCTCTCGCACCCTGCACTCCCACCCATCTGTTTTAGCTGGACCTTTGGCCGCTATACTATTAAAATGGAGAAGTAGTGCAACCCCTATTATAACCCATGTTATTAAATACTATATCTATTCAACCACATTAATGTTGTATTTATATTTTTCTCTATAGTCGTTGTATTCCAAAGTAAACGCGTGATTCTTATATTGAATATAATTAAACGCGTGATTCTTATATTGAATATAATTTTTCAATAGATCAAAATATAAAGTCTAACAATAATTTTTCACTACATATGAATCCAAAACAAAATTTCCATCCACCCATTTAAGGTGGGAAAGCGGATGGCTGGTTGTCCCACCAATATAGCCCTTCACACCTCATGAGTCAATGAGGAAGAGTGGACGGTTGATCCCAGTCATATGCCTCTGACAACTAATTACCCACTCATGTAGTCTAGACAAACCTTTGGCTGCCTAGCAATCTCAAATAAAGAAACAATGTTAACAAACACTTTCCCCGAATAGAGTAGCCCGAGACTTATGTGGTATAAGGAAGTCCATGGTAAGAAGTAGTTCAATTCCTTTATTCAAACCTATGGTATATTCATATATCTTATTCTTTGTGTTAATTTTTTTTATAGTTAATTCTAAAGTAAACCAACTATTCACTAACAGAATTTTTTAAAGATCCAAATATATAAAGGTTACTAGCAATTTGTTTCTAAAGATTAGTCCAAAATTCATTTCTATCCACCTACTTAAGAAGGTGAAAAAGTGGACGATTGGTAGGACCACCGATGCACCCCTCAAACCTCATGAATCAGAGCGAACGGTGGGGTCCACTCATATGCTTCTCACACCCTGCACACCCGCCCCGTATGTTTTAGCCGGAATTTTTGTCATTCTGCTATTAAAAGAAATAGTAAATATTCCATGACGTGTCATGAGCAGGATATCATGTCTTGATCATATGCCTATTATAACTAGCATACCCACTTATCTAGTCTAGAAAAACCTTTGGCTGCCTAATATATTCTAAATTAAGAAATAACAATACTCCCTCCGTCCCAAAAAAAGTGCAGTTTTGTACTATTCATCTCCAACGTTTGACCGTTCGTCTTATTTGAAAAAAACTTATGATTACTATTTTTATTGTTATTAGATGATAAAACATGAATAGTACTTTATGTGTGACTAATTTTTTAAAAAAAATTTATAAATTTTTCAAATAAGACGGATGGTCAAACGTTGGACACGGATTTTCACGGCTGCACTTATTTTGTGACGGAGGTAGTAGTAAACACCTTCCCCTGAATCGAGTGGACCTAGAGTATTAATAAGGGGGTAGTCCAACCCCTCTCGTTGAAACCTATGTTATTTAACAATTAGATATACTCATCTACTTTATCTTTGTATTAATATCTTTGCTGTATAATTGATGCAATATCTTCACATATTATATATATATATTTTTTCAAATGGTCCCGATATATAAAAACAATAATTCTTCACTAAAGATAAGTCAAAAATAAATTTCTATCTACCTACTTTAAATAAGTAGATAGTTGGTAGGCCCACTGACGCACACCCCCTCACACCTCATGAGTCATGACGAGGAAGAGCAAACGGTGGGACCCACTCATATACCTCTCGCACCCCGCACACCCACCCATCCGCTTTAGCTGGACCTTTGGCCGCTCTACCGTCAAACCAAGCAAGCTGTCAAAGGAAATAGTAGGAAATAACAGCAGCAACAACAGCTCACACAGACACACACCTCCTCCCCCTTTGACAATTGACACCCCCTCCTCTTCCTTCCACGCGCGTTAGCGGGCCGCGCGGCGCCGCGCATTGCTTCACCTCCGCTCCGCGCGGCTGAAACCGAAAAAAACCCAATTTGGATCGAAGCGGGGAGAGAGGACTTGAGGAGACGCGTCGTGGAGGGAAGTTTTTGAAAAAAATTTTCCCCAACCCGCTGGGCGCGATGCCGTCATGATCCCCCCCCTCGCCTCGCTGCCCAAAAATTTTTCAATCTCTCTCGCCCACATTAATCACCTTCCTCACGAGGCCAACGAGCAGAAATCCCATTTCATCATCATTCATACCAATCCTCTCGGTTTCTTCCGCGTCCCCGGATTCAGTTTCCTCCTCCTCTCCCCCCCTCTCGATCCCTCCTCCTCTTCCCCTCGTTCCAGCGCGCTCGCCGTCGCCCGCCGCCGTCCGCCGACCATGGAAGCAGCTGGAGTGGAGGTGAACGGAGGAGGAGGAGGCGACGTCGTGGTGGTGGTGCCGCAGCAGCATGAGGTGGCGGCGAAGCAGGCGGCGGCGGCGGCGGCGGCGAAGGGGAAGTCCGTCGAATCCAAGGGGGTCCGCGTCGTCGGCGGCCGGATCTATGATCCGGAGAACGGCAAGACCTGCCACCAGGTAACCCCTCCTCCTCCTCCCACCTACCTGCCTGCCTACCATCTGTTCGACACCGTGTCTAGCCGGTGTCCTATGAGGAGTCGTGCGTCCCTGTTCTTCCTCCCCGGTGGTTGGGTCGGGTTGGATCTGAGGAATTCTTGCTCGCCCCCCCTTGTTTTTGCGGGGAATTCTTGCTCACCCTTGGGTTTAGCGGTTGCTCTGTTTCTTGCTCCCTCGCAGTGCCGTCAGAAGACGATGGACTTCGCCGCGTCATGCCACAAGATCAAGAAGAACAACAAGCAGTGCACGATCCAGTACTGCCGCAAGTGTCTCTTTAACAGGTGAGGGGGGAATTTCTTCTCGTCTTCTTTCTTAGCTTCAGGAGGCAGAGCAAGGCTGGCTGACCATGTGATTTCTGAGTGATTCGTGGCGCAGGTACGGCCAGGAAGCCGAGAAGGTGGCCAATGACGGCACCTGGACTTGCCCCAAGTGCAAGGATATCTGCAATTGCAGCTTCTGCATGTGAGCTGACCAAACCTGATGCTCTACCGGTCATGCTGATTATCTGTGGCTCGCGTTTTGTTGTCAGAAGTGATGGATGGACTTTGATTTGTTTGGCAGGAAGAAGAAGGGGCTGCCGCCCACCGGAATACTTGCCCATGCTGCTAAGGCTTCAGGTTGTGCTTCGGTCCATCATTTACTGAAAAAGGGGAAAGAAGCGGTGGCTGCCGCGCAGAGGAGCACCCAGAAAGTGAGATCTACACCTGTGAAGGTGTGTGGTGTTCAGGATTGGCACGATCCTTTGTCACATTACAATTCGCTGTTGCATGGTACGATTGTTCACTATGTTTGATATGTTTTGCTGATCCTTTTTTTATGAACAAGCAGAAGAGCCCAAAGAGGGCCATACAGCCAGATGCTGCTGCTGATGAACCTTTGGCTGAAGGGGATGAGAATGTATGCATTGATTTCAATGCTGCTCCAGTGAAGAAGCAGAAGAGAAGCAGGAAGGTGGGTAATGGTGTGGCTCTGACGAAGGATGAAAGCCCTGATGCTCCCAAGGAACAAGTTGTTCTGCCCAAGGGCACTCCAGTCACTAGTGTTGCCGGTGCAGAGTGGGAGCCTGAAGATGTTGGTCTTGCACTTCAGTTCTTCGAATTCTGCCGCACATTTGCTGAGGTAGTTACGAAAGAAAGATCAAGGATATTTAATAGTATGATTGCACATGCCTTGTCAGAGTAATATCTTACTAGCATTTGCAAGAGAATAATAGATCGAGTTTTTTTTTTCTATTTACATGTCTGATGCATGTTATGTTTTGGTATGAAGTATGACAATGTAAAAAATGCTTTTACTGGTAAGCACCGAAGTGTTGATATTAGAGCTTCCTACAAGTTTGGAATCATATCTATGTGTTTATGTAGGTAAGGCATGCAATGCCATGATGGGATACAAATCATAAAGGGAATAGGTATTCGGATTAGAATTTGGAGAGGGAGATGGTGGGGTGACCGGGTGACAGCAAATGGGCAAAAGGAAATATATGACTACCTGTTGAGTTCATTGTACGCATTAAATGGATGCGATTTCTCTGCGTGCAACATGCTAACACCTAGATACAGGCTATCTGTTAATTGCCCTTTAATGTGTACAATATTCGAGTTCCTATTTGTAATTATGAGGTTTCTTTTTTATTGCATGGCACTTCTTGTCCATATGATATACATGTTAACATTGATAAACTGGTCGAAACCTTCCAATTATATTTCTTGGTTTGTAATTTAAGCCATGTAGTAGCTTTCATATAACCCAAATTAAATGTTATTATGTTCTGTCGAATTTTTTTATTTGTGATAGGCTGCGTGTTCAACTGAACTACCAAAGCTATGTTTTAAAGTTTTTTTTTTAAGGAAACTACCAAAGTTATGTTTCATCCTATACAATATCTCTTGCAAAAGGTATGTATAAAGCTCCATTGTTTTACACATAGTTTGAGCAAAGTTCAAACTTCTGAGCAAAACAACTATCTATTCCATCTGTTCCAAAATATAAGCATTTCTGACTATTTACCTGAACGGAAATGCTTATATTTTGGAACGAGGGAGTAAGTGATAGCGAAGCTTATTCTTTTCTGTGCGAGTTTATAATTTATTTCTTCTGTTATAGACCAAACATCCAAGTCCTTAAGGCATAATTTTGGTAACCAGCAAAACATTGTAACAGTTGTTTTATTAGGCGATGTGATAGTTATCTTAATCTTTTATGTTTATTTCTAACAAGTGTCATGGAACAATTAGTGTAAAATTTTTGCAACTACCGTGAGTCCTGTTCCATTACAATTGTTGCATCATACTTCCTCCGTTTCATAATGTAAGACTTTCTAGCATTGTCTACATTCATATAGATGTTAATGAATCTAGACATATATGTGTGTTTAGATTCATTAACATCTATATGAATGTGGACAAACCTAGAAAGTCTTACATTATGAAACGGAGGGAGTAACTTCTTAGTGTTTTTTAGAGTTTTCCTTTTGAATTCGGGCTTAGGATCGCTTTGCGTTATAATCTGAAGTATTTAGTCATTGCCGCAAGTGATCGCTGCGATGCAATGCGAGCAGAGTTGAGCGAACAGTCTGTCATGTAAGAGTACCTGTATCTGAGCACAAACTAACCATGGGCGCGTCATGCTTATATCTAGGATGTACTCAATAATTTACAACCCCAAGTGTATCGTTTTACGGTCTGATCTCGTGCATATATCGTGCATATGCTCTCTTTTTGCTTCTATGTAAACTCCTTGTTTCAATAATAATAATACAAGGATAACGCAGTAATTAATTTATTGAGATTGCTGTGGGCGTTGGTTTTGAACTATTCTTTTTTCTGCTATTTTGTTTTACATATATAAAGCATGCATTTATTTTCTGGTGTACTTAACAATTTGAGAAAATAGTCACAGTTTGCTGCTAGCATTACAGGCTTTTTAATTGAATCAGATATTTTAAAACAATATCTTGTTTCCTTAGTTAATATACTAATCTGCTCTACATGCTCACATGGTACATTGAGATTATATTTTGTATTGCAAATGGAATAACATACTGATTTTTCCCCACAGATTTTCCAAGTACGCAAGGGTCAACCAGAAAGAATCCTTCGGGACATAGCTGGAGGTCGTGGACTTCGAGTGGTGTCCTCAGTCATCGCTGACTTCCACATAACTTTGTTATCCATCATCCAAGAAGGCCGAGGAATCAAGTAAGTAGATCCCAAACCGAGCCTTTTTTTTTTCTAAATGCAGTTGATAAAATTATAATTATGTTGTTTTCTTCTCAGGCCTATCACATATTCAAGAGATAATGATGCATGGATTGTTGATACTGGAAAATGCATAAGCGAGTCAATCTTTGTCCCAGAGGGACTTCCCCTTGACTCCCTAAGTCAGGGGGTATCGGGATATAAAAATCTGAGCCCTTCTTGTAAGCTCAGTGTTCTGAACTTTTTGTGTGATGAAAGTCTTTCTACTGAGTAAGTATTGCCTACACATTTGTTAATACTTCCCTTCGCTATTGTGATGTTGTTATTTCTGATTTTTTAAATTACTCTTAACATTGTTCAGGAAGTTGAGGAGCTGCATATTATCTGAAACAAAAAACCCCTCCAGAGAAAAAGCTCATTCTGCAAAAGAGAAGGTTTTGATCTTGGCTTGCCTTTCCCACCTTGTCACATGGTTCTAGAACAATTGACAAAATATCTCCTGTTTGTTAGGAGGAGCCAAAAGAAGAAACTATAAAGAACACAGATGAAGCAGTGCTTTTGAAAACTGAAGGAGCAGCTGTTGCTATTGAGGAAGATAAGAATGGCATTTCTCAACAAAAGGATGTGAAAGAAGTAAAGAATGCAGACACAAATGGTATGAATTATATTGCTAAACATGCTTCGTCATAGCCTTTTAAACAGATTACTTTAGAACATTTTGCATGATCTCCTGCACTGTTTATTTCCTGTAATGCGAAGGAAAATAAGCTGATCATTGTTATTAATTTTGTTCTCAACTATGAACTATGGCAACATCAGAAAAGAAGCATGGAGGTTTCCTTAGGACTAATCCTTTCATGGTAGACAAAAAGGTAATCTATTGGAAGCTGGATGACTATTGTAATAACACAACAATGATGCTCCAAGGTTTGTTGGAAAGCGTTATTCAACATCCTTCCACTAATTTCAGTTCTGCATTATAAAATTGGAGACGATTAACATCTGTCTGTATCAGAGGTTGATGCTGATGATTTAATGGGGAACAAAGACAAGTGGTTTATGCTTAATGAAGATGAAAAGAAAATAGTTGAAAACTATTTATCCACAAGGTAAGGATTTCTCCATATCAATTTATTTGGATTTATTTTTATCTATTATAAATCAGGAATGCATGCTGATTGGTATGCTGGATAAGTCACCAAAATATTTTGGTAGAAACACTATTTGATATTTTATCTGCAAACAAAATTCGTGTTTTTAATAAAATTTTCCAATGATTGAACCACCTGTACATTGTGATGTACTTGATGGGTATATCCTTTGAAGGAGCATCCTAAGTAATATGCACTGGGGATATTATTTCCTGAAAATGTAGTGTATTGTGATTCCACAAAGCTCAAATATCTCAACTGAATCATTCCAATATGCTTAGTTATGATCAAGAAACTTTAGTAGCATAAAATGGTCGGTGAAGCACTTTGTCCAGACATCTGACTAACTGAAGTGATGTACTGCATTAAATAAAGTTTATTTTATATATCATACTTGCATTTTCAATGTTCCATGGCCATATTACTGGATATGGATGAATATATCTGTGTTTTTGTGTACCTCACTACTATAACTTGCACTGTCCACACATTTTCCTAGCTGAAGTGATGCACCACATTAATTAATTATAGCTTGCATTGTCCACATATTTTCCTAGCTGAAGTGATGCACCGCATTAGTTAAGAGTTTATTTTGCATATCAAGCTAGTGGTTCCTTATTTTCTACTTGACTGAAACTTTTGTATAATACAGGGTTTAGTATGATAATTGATAATGAAGTGAGATATTGAGATGTAACATCTTTGTTCCCCACTAGTTTTATGTTGTAATTTCAGGAAATATTTTAAAAAAATAATCAAAATTTGACATCAGAAGTTTAGACGAGTATGCAGAGAATTACTGCCAAGATTGGATGACCATCACTGGCTTAACTATTAAGGAATTAGTTTATTTATTACTATCATAATAATGCAATCAGTTATCTTTTTAATAACAGAATCCAAACTATCAGTTCTGATGTTTTCACTGTTGATCTAAAGGTGCTATACAAATGTTTCAAGAATCAAGATTATATAGGTTACAAAAAAATTGCCATGTATGTTGACATGCTGAAGTTTCATCTTGTCCTTGTGATGAATGCAATGATACTTGTTGCTCATTGATTAAAACTAACGTATTAGCATATTCTACTTCCAACTTCTGAAATAGCATATCAGTAACTTGTTATCGCTTTCCTCAATTGGCAATGTTTTAATACCTAATATTGCTTTCAATAACTTTCTCTCTTTACTCTTATATCAGATCACACAAGCTAACTAAGTTCACTTTGTTTTTGTCAACTCCATGAATAGTAGAAATTGTCTTTGTCGACACAGTTTGTCACTGATCTGACATGTGATTTTAACTGGTAATACAGGCCTAAACGCAGGGGGAGAAAAGCTGCACAATAGTCTACTGATCATACTCTCTAGGTTCCTCACCTGGCTGAAGGTACCCTTTTAATTCAGCACACCCCTTTTCATTTCTTTAGTTTATTATTACCATTTTGAGTTTAGTTTTGTATGGGTCCTGCATCTAGACTACGCTAGGAGTTCCCATATCATTTTGTTTATGTGACACTGCCTACATCAATCTTCTTACTTTTACATGTTATCAATCGGATAGTTGTATTTTTGTTGATTTAATTTTGAGTAGATAATTTGGAATGCGATACATGCTATGATCTATGATTTGGTATTTTGCTACTTTTTACGGAATTTGTAGCCTGCTAGATGTTCTTACAAAGATATGAGAATCCATGTGAGGACATGCCCTCATGGATACTCAACTAATTAACATGAGTTTAGTTGCGGTTATTAATATGATCATTTTTTAACCAGTCATAACAATTGATAAATGTACCATGAGCTTGTTATTGTGTTGAAGTGGTATCACTATTTTGTTAGGACTTGAAACTGTGAAATAATATTTCTGTTCTTTTTTGGCAGGTGGGTGGACTATGCTAGTTGAGATAAGGCAACCTCTGTTGAGGCCAGAAGGGCCATTTTTTGCTACAGAAAATTTGCGCAATTACAGAAGAACCAAGAATTGTTGGATCATTCACAGAAATTGAATCAGAAGCTTGAACAAGTTTTGTCCAGATGGCAAAGCCGGCAACTTTTGTAACACCTTTGCAGTTTCCTAGATGATACTGACGGAAAATGTTTCAGTATGATCGCGTTATACTGAAATGTTGCACTATAGCAAGAGTTTGCTATAGTCAGTCAACCCCCGTTACCGTGGTGTGGTTAAAGTTAAACTGTTGTGTGTAACATGTGACTGTCGATAATGACTATCCATCCATTCAGTTCAGTGCTTTAGATGCCTTTGATTTTTCCCCCCTTCAGGGCTTTACTGGGTTATCTGTGTTAGCTCACTTGCAGCACGGGTGACTTTCACAAACAAGTGACAATGGCAATTCCTTGCCTTGTCACAATTGGAGAAATTGACATGATTTTCCAGATGGTCCGGATATTATTATGCTCCAATTATTCTTGATTGGTTTAGTGATTTGCCCTTTCCAGATTGCGGACTAGGGGTTAGGATTACATGAGTACTCATAGGAAAAAGTAAGGGGCAAAACCTACGTGAAGTCTAGCGTCAGCTTGGTATAGTTTGGTTCTGATAATTTGTTGTTGGTCACTATGGTCTCTACAGATAGTATTCTACTGTAGAAAAGTACCATTGGTTTATGTATTTGATTAGTAGAAAATTCCACTGCCATATTTGAGGTAGTAGTAGTATGGATAGATATAGCCTATTGGACGAGGAAAGATAGAAAGTCTAGACTTAATAAATTTTGGTCCAAAACTTTCTTCTGTATTAGGTAAGGCATCTTCCATCATTTTGGTTTTGTGTTTTTTTTTATGAAGCACACAAACTATGTTTGTTTTAACTCTCTAGGATTCCATGAACATGTGGTCCAAAGATTCTATCATACTTTTGTCAAGTCAAAAAAAGTTGCTAGTTTTGTAGCGGCCTGCACCACACCTCCACAGTGTGGCCAAAGAAGAAAAATCTATGGACAAACTCCTATTATCTTCACCCATAGGATGTACTAAATCACCCCCTAAGAATGCCTTTAGAGTCTAGGGGGTCACTAGTAAACACCTACATACTGGTGGATCGAAATGGGCATCACTTCTAGTTTGGAACCAGTGGTGAGAAAGAAATAGTGATGTTTTACGGTAATAAAATTGAAGGAAAAAAAATAGCACCTAGGCCAGCTCCAGTTCATACTCTGAGTTACCTTCTAGTTCCTTGCACGACACCTTGTGCGCACGGTGGCCCCTTGAGGTGCTTGCGGGTCCCGTCTTCATTGGACCCTATTTGTCGTTGTCAACCCCATATCTTACAAGAACTGACTAGATCTAGTAGCCTCAAGTTTGGAGCAACCAAATCTGACACTACAATGCCTCTCGCTTTGCCACTCATCCTTGTCACCCAAGACCATGGTTGTTTTGTTGCTTGTTCCTAGGCCAATCGCCATCATCACCATCACCTGCGCTCAGAGCACCCAGATCTGGCAATTAGATCTAGCAGCCGTAATATTGCAACAATCAAATCAATCAACCCGGAGCTCTGGCTAGATAGATTTGATTGTTCAAGGGCAAGTGTGGGTGGAGAGAAAGAGAGGGGGCGGAGGGTAGGGGAGGGAGATCAAGGGCGAGTGTGGATGGAGAGAAAGAGAGGGGGCGGCGGGCAGGGAAGAGAGGGGATGTGAATCAGTAAGGGTTGAGGGAGACTAGGTATTTAACGATAGTGTAGGAAAGTGGCTCAATTTGGCCTTACTCGGCTGTTACTATCACTTCTTGTTTCTATCTTGAACATGTGGTGATAAATTTTGTTATTAGTGGATCAAAATGAATTAATACTTATAGAAGGTTAGGCTATGTGTTTGCTCACAAGTGGGTCATAGATCAATCTATTGTTATGCCAACCATAACATTCTAAGGTATGGTGACAAAAGTGCTAGCAGACTGAGCTTTTAAGAACCAAAGTAGACGGACACACATCCTTTTGTTATACTACGAGCACCTTTAATTTGTAGGAAAATATAGGAATTTTGGAGGATTATAATCCTATTGGAAAATTTCCAATTCCTCTCTCATCCAATTATATCTCTTTCATCCAATTTCTACGTTTTTCCAGCGGTCTAATCAAACAGTCATTCTTATATTTTTTCTACGTTTTACAATCCTCTGTTTGTTTGCACTTGTATTCCTATTAGAATTCTGTGTTTTTTCTATTCTTTCGTTTTTTCCATTCCTATGATTCAAAAATGCCCGACATATGCATAAGGTGTCATTGATAGATGGATCCCACTTGCTCTAGGACCATATGTCAGTAACACATACTGCATATGCAGTACAAGCAAAGGATCTCATTTAAGGCCTTGTTTAGTTCGCGAAAAGAAAATTTTTGTGTCACATCGGACGTTTGACCGGATGTCGGAAGGAGTTTTCGGACACGAATGAAAAAACTAATTTCATAACTCGCCTGGAAACCACGAGATGAATTTATTAAGCCTAATTAATCCATCATTAGTACATGTGGGTTACTGTAGCACTTATGGCTAATCATGGACTAATTAGGCTCAAAAGATTCGTCTCACGATTTCCATGCAAACTGTGCAAGTAAATTTTTTTGTTTATCTATATTTAATACTTCATGCATGCGTCCAAAGATTCGATATAACGTTTTTGAGAAAAAAAATTTGGAAACTAAACAAGGCCTAAATTAGATCTGGTAGTAGCAGACCCTAGTGCAAAAGTGCACCCAATAACATGTATCAGTAGTACTCACGGTTATGTGCTAAAAGGTAGAATTTCACTGATTGTGTATTTTGCCACATGTTACAAATTTCCGTTTTTTCTTGTTATTTTTCTTGCAAATGCAGGTGCATACTGTCAATATTGTAATTTATTAAAGAATTTTTCATAACTTCTAATGTGGGGTTTCTGGGCATGGGACCACCGATAGTAATGTTTACCTAGTACGTACTCCCTTCGTCCCAAAATATAAAGGATTTTGAATGGATGAATATTTCCTAGTATTACGAATCTGGATAGGCTAGGAAATATCCAATCCGTCCAAAATCCCTTATATTTTGGGACGGAGGGAGTATATTATGGGCCATATAATTGACAATAAGGATACATTACTTTTGAGCTAGGCAGGTGAAGAGGGAGATGAGACCAAGAAGAGAGAGAATATTATTTTAAACAACATGTGTTGTAGGCCTACGGATTTGTGCATGGAATTAACGAATATGCAATACTACACAAATGGCTTTTGTTAAAACCACCTCATCACAAGGTCTGGATCATCCTGCCTATTGAGTGTTGAACTGGTAATTATAGTTTTTTTAATAAAAAAGTTAGATAATTTTTCATATAAAGTCAGATAAAAATAAACTTTATATCCATAAGTATTGTTGTAGAACTTAAGAATATTTACAATCTATAGTTGACAACCTTTATATTTAAGATCATTCATATGTCTGTATACGTGTTAGAAGGTCTAGAGACTATTTTGTTGAGGCCAAAATTTGACTTTACTACACGGCTTTGTATGGTGATTGGAGACAAACTTTATATCATGGTTTTTAAGGTGGTAAGGTGACCCCGGACTACCTTACAGGTAAGGCTTAAGGCGAGATGACGTCTTAGGCACATCAAAGCTGCATTTTAAGAGCAGTACGACACACATATATACCTTGTTCTTGGCAACTCTTAAGCCCATGTAGCATCCAATACCTACATGGCAGCATCCACCCCCTTAGAAGCATCACCATTTTTTGTGTTATGAAGATAATAATAGATGCATAATTGTAAACAATAGTTAATAAATTGCTTCCATTTACTTGAGTAGCATACCTTGTTGATGACCTGAAAGCAGCAAGGCACATTATTGATGAGCAAGATGATAATATAAAGCCATAAATTCAAAGACAACAAAGTAAGCATTTGAGCACGAGTAAATTGCATATTGGACCACTATATTTTACAACTCTATCAGCTTGGACTATTGGTAGATCTACATTTCCCTATTGGACTGGGTAAATTTACAAAGGTTTCAGTTTGGGGCTGTTCTTGTACCTGTAGCTCCCTCTCTCCTCTCTTTGTGTACTCTCTCTCTCTCTCGCTCTCTCTCTCTCTCTCTTCCTTTGTGGGCAAGAAAAGAACCACTGGGTGGGCTCAAGACTGTAGCATGGAGCTGCCGGCCGAGCTCAACTTAAGTGCAATGCCGGAGCTGTTGGGGCTAAGGCCGAGAGCTGAGCTGGCTGCTGACTGGGCTCAAGGCTGAGCATGACACTGAGCCACCAATGACTCTCGAGGCCGAGCATGGTGTAAGCCCTAACAGGGCTCGAGGTCATGGTCAAGTGCGTAGTCTGCTTCGAGCGGATGCCAACAGTGGACGTGCTACTAGTGGAGAGGGGTGGAGGGGCTACCATAGGTTGTTGCTTCGCTAAAGCATGGCTACTACAGGGAAATCATCATCATCATGGGTGGTGTTATCCAATTTGCCACAACAACTTGCGTGATGGCTCTCACCGTGGTCAGCGGCGCTCGGCCTCTTGCCTCCACTTGCCAACGCATGGCATGAAGTACGTCTCTGACATGTCACAGTCCACACAACAAACAAACCAAATTATACAATCGGTATGCACTGACGGACTAACCATCCATTTATTCGCCTCGGCCACATTGATCTCCACATTGTTGGGTAAAGGACCGGCTTGCTGGTCATCTTCGTGATGGAGAGGGTCAGACCATTTACTAGCGGTCACCAGGTTCATCACCTTCTTGATGGGGTGGTGTAGTTCGGTGATGGCTCTGAGATATGGAGAAGAGGGAGGAGCGCTAGAGGTTGAAGAACTAGCCCAAGCTGAAGCAACTGGTAAAGATAAAGTGGTCTAAAGTGAAAAAGTTTGTTTGTCCTTAGTCCAATTTGCAACAATGGTAAAAAAGAGCGGCTCAAGGTGCAATTTACTCTAAACATAATAAACTATCAAGCAGGCTAACCTAGCAGGCAAGTAAACATAATAACAAAGCAAAATAGTGGGAGCTATCATATACCTAATGGCGTATAAAGATAATAGTGGTCCATAACTCCACACTCCACACTCCACACTCTAAACAAATATACTATAAGTCCAACTCCTTGTCTCTTAGTATTCATCATCAAACTCATCGAAATTGCCATTGGCATCCAAATTCTCTTAGCCATCTTCAATACCTGCGTGAGCTTCATCACAATTGCTCACATTTGCATCATTAGGTGGATCTTCCTCCTTATCTTCTTCTTGGTCAGATTGCATATCTTCCTCATCTTCTTCAAACATTGTTGTATTCCTTGGGTGCCTTTGAAAGGTTATTGGAACAACAAGGTTGTGAACTCTCCTTAGAACATGCGATTGTTGTCGGTAGATAAGTGCAAACTTTCACCGTCAACTCCTGCATAAAAGAATACAAAATATAATATCAAACTTAGTGGTAGGGGTTTATTACTAACCATTTCCACTAGTCTTTGTAAATATTGGTATGCAGGTGATTTTTGAAAGAAAATGCACTCGCCATGAGACTAAATGTACCTCCGACCAACCATACGCAAGCACAAGGATCGGAGAGCCCACATGTCAGTCAAAACTAACTGAATTTGAGCTAATCCACCGTCAACTGCCAAAGGGGTCCACTGTCATACACCGGAGAATGTCGGTGGCCAATGGCGGTGTGCCTGGTTCGGCTGATCCAAGGTTGGCGCCCCCAGCCACCTCCTTGCACGTGGCGACCCCCTATTGGTTGGTGATGGCGGTTGTGGGTGCACCAACATCCACAACCGCCATTTCAAGCGTCATATGAAGGCTATAAAAGGAGGAGTTCAACTCACTTCCGAAACACACATCTCAAGTGGAGTACAACTCACTTTCATATTTTAGGCATCTCTTTAGTGTGTGGAATTAGGTAAAGAGTGAGGTAAAGCTCCGGAAGGAGTGCCCCAAATATCGGAGTTCTTCTTCCACTGGAGTTTCGGAGAAGTGATGGAGTTATCGGCCTTCTTCTCTCGTTTGTATCTTAACGGATGCTTCTTAAGTAAGTATTTGAGATCTCCTTATGGTATTTAATTTAGTTGCTTGAATGACATATATTCCCATCGTTGCGGGTTCGTCGCTTAGTTGAATTATTAAGTGCTCTAGTACTAGGATTCTAGATAAAGAAGGAAGTTCCTGCGTGGGGCTAGAGTAGTAATCAATAACTTAGGTGTGGTGTTTAGGTTAGCGGTTACCTTTTTTTGTTGTGTGCTCCATAGAAAGTGAGGTAGGCGGAAGGTGGTGATAGCCTTGTCCATCCTTTGTATCCCTCCATGTTCAGGTACATCATAGAGCCGTAGGCTGGATTCAGCTTGGCAGACCAGCGGAGGGCTAGTGCCAGAAGCAATCGATAGGGTTTTACCTTTAACTCAAGTCTAGTAAATTAATCCATAGGAATCCTCTTTAGCCTTAGCCTACCATTAGTTGTTGTCCTTGGATAGAATTATGTTCCTAGATATATGCACATGTTTTCTGTGATTCGATACCCTTGGAATACTCTGAGGTGAAGTGCTACAGCGGTATTCGTGCGCTTGCGGATTTATCTGTGACCGTATCAAATACCAACAGCGAGCTCAAAGAGATCGTGATGCACCAACAACTTCATCAACATCATCCTATGTAATGTCACATCCACGAAAACCTTCAACTGGTTCATGTAAGGAATTATCCCACTCATTGTTCCAATCAAACTCCTCAATGACTTAAGGATCTGGCCTTTTCCTGCTTTCTCACGCCTAAGCTGAAACCTAGTTTCCATCTTCCAGTTATAGGCAACAAAAACAACATCATTCAATCTCTTGTGTACTAACTGGTTCATTTTCTTTGTATGGATCTGCAGGGATGCAAATAACAAGGGAAGAAAAAAAAGGATAAATAACTTGCTGATATAGTAAAGAAATTTAAAGCAAAACTACAGATAAACTGACTCGCAAATCCAAATGTTCTCCAATTGAGCTCACAACTGGATAAAAAAGCTCAATTGGAATGCATGCTGATTGGTATGCTGGATAAAAAAGCTCAATTTATTTGGATTTATTTTTATCTATTATAAATCAGGAATGCATGCTGATTGGTATGCTGGATAAGTCACCAAAATATTTTGGTAGAAACACTATTTGATATTTTATCTGCAAACAAAATTCGTGTTTTTAATAAAATTTTCCAATGATTGAACCACCTGTACATTGTGATGTACTTGATGGGTATATCCTTTGAAGGAGCATCCTAAGTAATATGCACTGGGGATATTATTTCCTGAAAATGTAGTGTATTGTGATTCCACAAAGCTCAAATATCTCAACTGAATCATTCCAATATGCTTAGTTATGATCAAGAAACTTTAGTAGCATAAAATGGTCGGTGAAGCACTTTGTCCAGACATCTGACTAACTGAAGTGATGTACTGCATTAAATAAAGTTTATTTTATATATCATACTTGCATTTTCAATGTTCCATGGCCATATTACTGGATATGGATGAATATATCTGTGTTTTTGTGTACCTCACTACTATAACTTGCACTGTCCACACATTTTCCTAGCTGAAGTGATGCACCACATTAATTAATTATAGCTTGCATTGTCCACATATTTTCCTAGCTGAAGTGATGCACCGCATTAGTTAAGAGTTTATTTTGCATATCAAGCTAGTGGTTCCTTATTTTCTACTTGACTGAAACTTTTGTATAATACAGGGTTTAGTATGATAATTGATAATGAAGTGAGATATTGAGATGTAACATCTTTGTTCCCCACTAGTTTTATGTTGTAATTTCAGGAAATATTTTAAAAAAATAATCAAAATTTGACATCAGAAGTTTAGACGAGTATGCAGAGAATTACTGCCAAGATTGGATGACCATCACTGGCTTAACTATTAAGGAATTAGTTTATTTATTACTATCATAATAATGCAATCAGTTATCTTTTTAATAACAGAATCCAAACTATCAGTTCTGATGTTTTCACTGTTGATCTAAAGGTGCTATACAAATGTTTCAAGAATCAAGATTATATAGGTTACAAAAAAATTGCCATGTATGTTGACATGCTGAAGTTTCATCTTGTCCTTGTGATGAATGCAATGATACTTGTTGCTCATTGATTAAAACTAACGTATTAGCATATTCTACTTCCAACTTCTGAAATAGCATATCAGTAACTTGTTATCGCTTTCCTCAATTGGCAATGTTTTAATACCTAATATTGCTTTCAATAACTTTCTCTCTTTACTCTTATATCAGATCACACAAGCTAACTAAGTTCACTTTGTTTTTGTCAACTCCATGAATAGTAGAAATTGTCTTTGTCGACACAGTTTGTCACTGATCTGACATGTGATTTTAACTGGTAATACAGGCCTAAACGCAGGGGGAGAAAAGCTGCACAATAGTCTACTGATCATACTCTCTAGGTTCCTCACCTGGCTGAAGGTACCCTTTTAATTCAGCACACCCCTTTTCATTTCTTTAGTTTATTATTACCATTTTGAGTTTAGTTTTGTATGGGTCCTGCATCTAGACTACGCTAGGAGTTCCCATATCATTTTGTTTATGTGACACTGCCTACATCAATCTTCTTACTTTTACATGTTATCAATCGGATAGTTGTATTTTTGTTGATTTAATTTTGAGTAGATAATTTGGAATGCGATACATGCTATGATCTATGATTTGGTATTTTGCTACTTTTTACGGAATTTGTAGCCTGCTAGATGTTCTTACAAAGATATGAGAATCCATGTGAGGACATGCCCTCATGGATACTCAACTAATTAACATGAGTTTAGTTGCGGTTATTAATATGATCATTTTTTAACCAGTCATAACAATTGATAAATGTACCATGAGCTTGTTATTGTGTTGAAGTGGTATCACTATTTTGTTAGGACTTGAAACTGTGAAATAATATTTCTGTTCTTTTTTGGCAGGTGGGTGGACTATGCTAGTTGAGATAAGGCAACCTCTGTTGAGGCCAGAAGGGCCATTTTTTGCTACAGAAAATTTGCGCAATTACAGAAGAACCAAGAATTGTTGGATCATTCACAGAAATTGAATCAGAAGCTTGAACAAGTTTTGTCCAGATGGCAAAGCCGGCAACTTTTGTAACACCTTTGCAGTTTCCTAGATGATACTGACGGAAAATGTTTCAGTATGATCGCGTTATACTGAAATGTTGCACTATAGCAAGAGTTTGCTATAGTCAGTCAACCCCCGTTACCGTGGTGTGGTTAAAGTTAAACTGTTGTGTGTAACATGTGACTGTCGATAATGACTATCCATCCATTCAGTTCAGTGCTTTAGATGCCTTTGATTTTTCCCCCCTTCAGGGCTTTACTGGGTTATCTGTGTTAGCTCACTTGCAGCACGGGTGACTTTCACAAACAAGTGACAATGGCAATTCCTTGCCTTGTCACAATTGGAGAAATTGACATGATTTTCCAGATGGTCCGGATATTATTATGCTCCAATTATTCTTGATTGGTTTAGTGATTTGCCCTTTCCAGATTGCGGACTAGGGGTTAGGATTACATGAGTACTCATAGGAAAAAGTAAGGGGCAAAACCTACGTGAAGTCTAGCGTCAGCTTGGTATAGTTTGGTTCTGATAATTTGTTGTTGGTCACTATGGTCTCTACAGATAGTATTCTACTGTAGAAAAGTACCATTGGTTTATGTATTTGATTAGTAGAAAATTCCACTGCCATATTTGAGGTAGTAGTAGTATGGATAGATATAGCCTATTGGACGAGGAAAGATAGAAAGTCTAGACTTAATAAATTTTGGTCCAAAACTTTCTTCTGTATTAGGTAAGGCATCTTCCATCATTTTGGTTTTGTGTTTTTTTTTATGAAGCACACAAACTATGTTTGTTTTAACTCTCTAGGATTCCATGAACATGTGGTCCAAAGATTCTATCATACTTTTGTCAAGTCAAAAAAAGTTGCTAGTTTTGTAGCGGCCTGCACCACACCTCCACAGTGTGGCCAAAGAAGAAAAATCTATGGACAAACTCCTATTATCTTCACCCATAGGATGTACTAAATCACCCCCTAAGAATGCCTTTAGAGTCTAGGGGGTCACTAGTAAACACCTACATACTGGTGGATCGAAATGGGCATCACTTCTAGTTTGGAACCAGTGGTGAGAAAGAAATAGTGATGTTTTACGGTAATAAAATTGAAGGAAAAAAAATAGCACCTAGGCCAGCTCCAGTTCATACTCTGAGTTACCTTCTAGTTCCTTGCACGACACCTTGTGCGCACGGTGGCCCCTTGAGGTGCTTGCGGGTCCCGTCTTCATTGGACCCTATTTGTCGTTGTCAACCCCATATCTTACAAGAACTGACTAGATCTAGTAGCCTCAAGTTTGGAGCAACCAAATCTGACACTACAATGCCTCTCGCTTTGCCACTCATCCTTGTCACCCAAGACCATGGTTGTTTTGTTGCTTGTTCCTAGGCCAATCGCCATCATCACCATCACCTGCGCTCAGAGCACCCAGATCTGGCAATTAGATCTAGCAGCCGTAATATTGCAACAATCAAATCAATCAACCCGGAGCTCTGGCTAGATAGATTTGATTGTTCAAGGGCAAGTGTGGGTGGAGAGAAAGAGAGGGGGCGGAGGGTAGGGGAGGGAGATCAAGGGCGAGTGTGGATGGAGAGAAAGAGAGGGGGCGGCGGGCAGGGAAGAGAGGGGATGTGAATCAGTAAGGGTTGAGGGAGACTAGGTATTTAACGATAGTGTAGGAAAGTGGCTCAATTTGGCCTTACTCGGCTGTTACTATCACTTCTTGTTTCTATCTTGAACATGTGGTGATAAATTTTGTTATTAGTGGATCAAAATGAATTAATACTTATAGAAGGTTAGGCTATGTGTTTGCTCACAAGTGGGTCATAGATCAATCTATTGTTATGCCAACCATAACATTCTAAGGTATGGTGACAAAAGTGCTAGCAGACTAAGCTTTTAAGAACCAAAGTAGACGGACACACATCCTTTTGTTATACTACGAGCACCTTTAATTTGTAGGAAAATATAGGAATTTTGGAGGATTATAATCCTATTGGAAAATTTCCAATTCCTCTCTCATCCAATTATATCTCTTTCATCCAATTTCTACGTTTTTCCAGCGGTCTAATCAAACAGTCATTCTTATATTTTTTCTACGTTTTACAATCCTCTGTTTGTTTGCACTTGTATTCCTATTAGAATTCTGTGTTTTTTCTATTCTTTCGTTTTTTCCATTCCTATGATTCAAAAATGCCCGACATATGCATAAGGTGTCATTGATAGATGGATCCCACTTGCTCTAGGACCATATGTCAGTAACACATACTGCATATGCAGTACAAGCAAAGGATCTCATTTAAGGCCTTGTTTAGTTCGCGAAAAAAAAATTTTTGTGTCACATCGGACGTTTGACCGGATGTCGGAAGGAGTTTTCGGACACGAATGAAAAAACTAATTTCATAACTCGCCTGGAAACCACGAGATGAATTTATTAAGCCTAATTAATCCATCATTAGTACATGTGGGTTACTGTAGCACTTATGGCTAATCATGGACTAATTAGGCTCAAAAGATTCGTCTCACGATTTCCATGCAAACTGTGCAAGTAAATTTTTTTGTTTATCTATATTTAATACTTCATGCATGCGTCCAAAGATTCGATATAACGTTTTTGAGAAAAAAAATTTGGAAACTAAACAAGGCCTAAATTAGATCTGGTAGTAGCAGACCCTAGTGCAAAAGTGCACCCAATAACATGTATCAGTAGTACTCACGGTTATGTGCTAAAAGGTAGAATTTCACTGATTGTGTATTTTGCCACATGTTACAAATTTCCGTTTTTTCTTGTTATTTTTCTTGCAAATGCAGGTGCATACTGTCAATATTGTAATTTATTAAAGAATTTTTCATAACTTCTAATGTGGGGTTTCTGGGCATGGGACCACCGATAGTAATGTTTACCTAGTACGTACTCCCTTCGTCCCAAAATATAAAGGATTTTGAATGGATGAATATTTCCTAGTATTACGAATCTGGATAGGCTAGGAAATATCCAATCCGTCCAAAATCCCTTATATTTTGGGACGGAGGGAGTATATTATGGGCCATATAATTGACAATAAGGATACATTACTTTTGAGCTAGGCAGGTGAAGAGGGAGATGAGACCAAGAAGAGAGAGAATATTATTTTAAACAACATGTGTTGTAGGCCTACGGATTTGTGCATGGAATTAACGAATATGCAATACTACACAAATGGCTTTTGTTAAAACCACCTCATCACAAGGTCTGGATCATCCTGCCTATTGAGTGTTGAACTGGTAATTATAGTTTTTTTAATAAAAAAGTTAGATAATTTTTCATATAAAGTCAGATAAAAATAAACTTTATATCCATAAGTATTGTTGTAGAACTTAAGAATATTTACAATCTATAGTTGACAACCTTTATATTTAAGATCATTCATATGTCTGTATACGTGTTAGAAGGTCTAGAGACTATTTTGTTGAGGCCAAAATTTGACTTTACTACACGGCTTTGTATGGTGATTGGAGACAAACTTTATATCATGGTTTTTAAGGTGGTAAGGTGACCCCGGACTACCTTACAGGTAAGGCTTAAGGCGAGATGACGTCTTAGGCACATCAAAGCTGCATTTTAAGAGCAGTACGACACACATATATACCTTGTTCTTGGCAACTCTTAAGCCCATGTAGCATCCAATACCTACATGGCAGCATCCACCCCCTTAGAAGCATCACCATTTTTTGTGTTATGAAGATAATAATAGATGCATAATTGTAAACAATAGTTAATAAATTGCTTCCATTTACTTGAGTAGCATACCTTGTTGATGACCTGAAAGCAGCAAGGCACATTATTGATGAGCAAGATGATAATATAAAGCCATAAATTCAAAGACAACAAAGTAAGCATTTGAGCACGAGTAAATTGCATATTGGACCACTATATTTTACAACTCTATCAGCTTGGACTATTGGTAGATCTACATTTCCCTATTGGACTGGGTAAATTTACAAAGGTTTCAGTTTGGGGCTGTTCTTGTACCTGTAGCTCCCTCTCTCCTCTCTTTGTGTACTCTCTCTCTCTCTCGCTCTCTCTCTCTCTCTCTCTTCCTTTGTGGGCAAGAAAAGAACCACCGGGTGGGCTCAAGACTGTAGCATGGAGCTGCCGGCCGAGCTCAACTTAAGTGCAATGCCGGAGCTGTTGGGGCTAAGGCCGAGAGCTGAGCTGGCTGCTGACTGGGCTCAAGGCTGAGCATGACACTGAGCCACCAATGACTCTCGAGGCCGAGCATGGTGTAAGCCCTGACAGGGCTCGAGGTCATGGTCAAGTGCGTAGTCTGCTTCGAGCGGATGCCAACAGTGGACGTGCTACTAGTGGAGAGGGGTGGAGGGGCTACCATAGGTTGTTGCTTCGCTAAAGCATGGCTACTACAGGGAAATCATCATCATCATGGGTGGTGTTATCCAATTTGCCACAACAACTTGCGTGATGGCTCTCACCGTGGTCAGCGGCGCTCGGCCTCTTGCCTCCACTTGCCAACGCATGGCATGAAGTACGTCTCTGACATGTCACAGTCCACACAACAAACAAACCAAATTATACAATCGGTATGCACTGACGGACTAACCATCCATTTATTCGCCTCGGCCACATTGATCTCCACATTGTTGGGTAAAGGACCGGCTTGCTGGTCATCTTCGTGATGGAGAGGGTCAGACCATTTACTAGCGGTCACCAGGTTCATCACCTTCTTGATGGGGTGGTGTAGTTCGGTGATGGCTCTGAGATATGGAGAAGAGGGAGGAGCGCTAGAGGTTGAAGAACTAGCCCAAGCTGAAGCAACTGGTAAAGATAAAGTGGTCTAAAGTGAAAAAGTTTGTTTGTCCTTAGTCCAATTTGCAACAATGGTAAAAAAGAGCGGCTCAAGGTGCAATTTACTCTAAACATAATAAACTATCAAGCAGGCTAACCTAGCAGGCAAGTAAACATAATAACAAAGCAAAATAGTGGGAGCTATCATATACCTAATGGCGTATAAAGATAATAGTGGTCCATAACTCCACACTCCACACTCCACACTCTAAACAAATATACTATAAGTCCAACTCCTTGTCTCTTAGTATTCATCATCAAACTCATCGAAATTGCCATTGGCATCCAAATTCTCTTAGCCATCTTCAATACCTGCGTGAGCTTCATCACAATTGCTCACATTTGCATCATTAGGTGGATCTTCCTCCTTATCTTCTTCTTGGTCAGATTGCATATCTTCCTCATCTTCTTCAAACATTGTTGTATTCCTTGGGTGCCTTTGAAAGGTTATTGGAACAACAAGGTTGTGAACTCTCCTTAGAACATGCGATTGTTGTCGGTAGATAAGTGCAAACTTTCACCGTCAACTC